AAATGACACCATTCCCCATATAGAGTCCTACTTTTAGCCTGAGACCCACATACAGAGCTGTAACTGTGGGCAGAAAGTAGAGCACCATCCAGATGAAGATGGCGTGATCTGAGAAAAGACCTCAAAGGAAGGACCCTCATTTTTTCTTCTTCTCGTCTTTCTTGGCACCATCTGCTTTCTCCTTCTCCTTGTCTTTGTCCTTATCGTCTTTTTTCTCTTTGTCGTCTTTCTTCTCTTTCTTGCCTTCCTCCTTCTCCTGTCCTTCCTTCTTTTCTGCATCTCGGTTGGAGATTTTGTTGTTGATCAGGTTGTGCAGAGCCACCACAGAGCGTATGAGCGAGGCCAGGTAGACCACCAGCATCTGGTCGTTGGTCTTAAGGTAGAAAGCTTTTGTGAACTCCTGCAAAGACAGAAATATAATATTCAGCAACACAATGTGTCTAAAACAATGTGATATGCACAAAAACCTGGGGGGTAAATATTGAAAAATGACATTCGAGGCAAACTGATGCATGTGATGCAGCTTTAGGCAGGGATGTTTAAACCTTTTGACCAAGAAGTGTTAAAGATGAAAAGGATCAAACCATGGATCAAACACAGAGCTGGACTTTTATCCAGACATGTTAAAAGCAGGTATTTATCCCAAGCCTAAATCGAAATAACACACCACCCACAGCTGACAAATGTATTTGCAAGCAGCTACAGTTTCTGTTTTTGAGCATGAGAGCACAAATGTGTTGGAGGTGTGTGTCACTAAATCTGACTCAGTTTGCCCTCCAGTGGATAAACTAAGAAACTACAGTTCAGTTTGAGATTGTAGCTGAAGTAAAAACCAGTAGATTTTATGTTTTCAGTTCAATGTTCTTTCCTTTCAGAGTCTCTTTGTTTCACTGAATTAATTCAAAATTGTGCAGTTCTTGTAACTGTGTTTTTTTAAGCACAAGTGTGCAACTGTTTTAATATAACATAACAGTGAGTATTTGCTGCAGCTTTAATTCATTGTTAAAAAAAAACCAGCTCTCAAAGTCACATACAATAACCAAAATTACTACATCTCTTAAAATTAGGTGAAATTACAGTTACTACAATTCAACAGATACCAATTTCCAATGGTTACAATGGTTACTGTAAATAAATATGAAGTTAACGCCCATCAAACACAACATACCAGTAGATTTACGTCTGGCAGCAAGTTGAAGACATCCTGCAGCTGGTAGATGATCTGGTGGTTGATGGGAAGTTTTCCTGCTGCCACTCTCTCCAGGTAAGAGCGGATGTCCAACAGCTTCGAGTTGAGTCCCTTCAGGCCGTGAACCTGATTTGTGATCCGTTGCGACAGAGTGCCCACTGTGGTGTCCTTGATATCTCTGCAAATGGTATATATCCAATGAGAAGTGATGAATGTCTTGTTTTGTAAGGAGTTTTCATTTGTTCATCATTTTCGTCAGAAGGTCTTTGCAGCATTAGTGATTACAGTAGACAGTAGAAGCAGAGTAGTGTCATTTATACTCTGTATTATCATCACAATTATTTACTCTGATGACTAAAATTGCTATTACATGATTAACACTGTAGCAAAGTGTGTGAAATGTTTGTTTGGTACCTGAGCAGGTGCTCCACGCCCACTTCCTCTGCTTCTTCAGCTCCAATCTCACTGGTGACATGTTCAAATGTCTTGGATGTTGGAGTGCCATCCTAGAAAGAGTAAGGAAAAGTCTCAGTGCATTGTTTGAAACCAACAGGATGGAACAGGATAACAATGCAGTACACACTGTCATCTTTCACTGGAAATACTTTCTAGCAACTCAGACAAGTAAGAAAAGAAACTATAGCTATTTAAAAGGCCTCAAATTCAGTGTGGTTTCCATTTTACCTTTCAGACAGATTAACTATAAAGAGTAGTCATAAACCCTAATTTAAAAAAAATCAACAGACTTGTGTCCAGTAAACCCTACATGCATCATCACCAAACTCACGCTGATGGAAATGTATTTATTATATTACTTATGATTCAATAAATCAATTCACAACCCAAGTTTTTCTAGAGACATCTGGGGCCATATGTATAAACGATGTGTATGCACAAAAACCATGGGGACCCTTCTTTACACATACACTGGTATTTATAAATGAAGACTGAGTGGTGAGACACTTTTTTACCTGACATAGCTGTGGGTGATATAATAAGGAGGAGATTTGAGATTACACATTAGCTGAGAGACAGAAAGCATTGTTTTTAGGTAACTGCCAACTTCAGTGATTGTTTTATTATTTTTGCAGCTTATACAGCTTTCTGTAAAATGTCAATCAAAGGCACATTTATAAAGTTGATCTTAAATCATTTATGAGTGATAATTCCACCATTATTTTAATTCACCTTCCTGTAAGTGATCGTTAAGCTTTATGCTGTAAAGCACTTTGTAAAATGAGTTTCCACAAGTGCTATAAATAAATCATTAATCATCTTTGTGATATTTAATAATGGTTACGGAGATTTAACCATGATGATGGTTTGCAAAAATGTATTGAAATAGTGGTAGGGACCCTACAAATACTTATAGCTGTGTATAATGATGGCTACGCTGGCACCGTTGGAGAACCTCGCTGATGCAACACAGTCAGTGAAATTGCAGTTTCTTTACCGTATTTCTCACTGACAGGTCTAATGAATTGTAGAAGGGCACAAGTATCGATATGCAAATATATGTTCAAGAGCGTCTATACTTTCATTTTTTGGTGAACTGTGGGTGTTGGAATGGGGCTCGTGCCCATGTGTTTAGTGCCACAATGATAGAGATTTATAAAACTGAATCAGGCGTGCGCACAGATTTATAAATCTGATGAAAAGAATGCGTATGCACATTTCTGTCTTTTTGCTTACATATAGTTTTGACCATGAATCTACACAGAGTTTTACGCATCTGGCCCCTGCTATTCTGTCTGCTTCGATGCAATCCATGATTCACTTACGTCGTGTATTTCCTCCACAGAGATGTATGCTTCTGTAGGTAGACCAAGATCTTTGGGCTTCACATCTATAATGACTAACACCTGGTAGGATAGAAGACAAATATATGAGCTATTTATTCAACATCAGAATATGAGTAGAACAAGGTAATGTCACAACACAATCACATTAAGCAGAGAAAAAAGTTAAGCAGTTACATACCGAGTTGGTACAGTACTGCTTGATGAGCTCATTGATGGCAATGTCATTCTTATGTAACTTGGGTCCTGTGTGGTACCATCCAACTATCCTTTCTCTGGCTGAGAACCATTGAAGACAGTTATTCACAAGTATAAAATCAAGGTAAACCTACCATGAAAAACAACTGAATAATGTAGACAAAGGCAGTGCCTTACCATTGACTTTCTTGAACATGCCATACATGTTCTCCAAATAGTCATGATCCAAGAACCACACTGAGTCGTCCCTGTCATCCTCATCAAACGGCACTGTAAAGGAACATTGGCAGACATTAAAGAATTGATGGAATCTGTCTGTGGCAGACACTCCTTGACTTTTAAGGTTCATTTTGCTTCATAGAGTGCTGGGGCAGGTGTGAGTCAAGTCTAAAACTGTGTAGTTCACTTTATAAATGAAAAAAAAAAGTTTAAAAATAAGGCAGTAAACACATAAAACTGGGGTATGATTATTGGGTCTGAAATGGTTTTAAATTTCCGTACCGTTTCTCTTTTGTGTTGTTTCTGTTTTGTTTTTGTTTGTATAACTTAAACTTAGTAGTTAATTAGCTACTATGGGAATATACTTAGTAAGACTTAAGCCTACACCTTTATGGTCTATATTTTTCGCTTTTGTTTTTCCTTTCAATTCCTTGTTGTTATTGAAAAGTGTTAACAAGGGCCGAGTAAAAATTACCACAATATATACTATACTAACTACTGTCAAAGGCATATTCAAATATCTTAAAGGGTCGCTCCACTGATTTTACACATGATCAACCGACTACTCTGAAAACAGCTGTGTAATGTTTTCTGTAGCTCAGGTGAGAGCTTTTCAAGGACTGTAATTATGTCTATAGTTATGTGAATTGGGTTATCTTGGCTTAGGATCGAAGAACACGAATCCATAACAAAAATCCAGCATTACAAACTGAAGTACATGAAGTTTGAATGATGTGAGAATTTGCAGACAGTTAGGGTCAATAAAAGACACTTCTGAGTTGCATTACATTAAGTCAAATACCCAGTCTTCTAAAAGCACGAATCATAGGGACTATAACTTGTTTATCTGCCCCTTTCTTTATTTTATTATTAAACATTATTCAATTTTACATCGTGTTCATTAAATGCTTTCACAATGTCACTCACCTGCAAAACTATTTGAGACGTCAAGAACTTTTTTCTGCCATGATCCCAGGAGGACACCAACCACTCGTTTCTGATTGCCAACTTTTCCTATCCTGTAGATTGAATGGTCAGATGGATAGAAATTGTTAGTTTACTACAGTTTTATCAAAAGTGAACGCGATGAGTCATAAACATGGACTGATGTGTTAGCTAGGTTGCTACCTTAGGTTTAACTTAGCTAATGAAATGAATAACACGATTACAACAGTTGTGTGTACATGCTAGCGAGTTCAAAATTCTACTATATTATTGACTGACTTAACAGATTAGCAAATATTATTTTCTGACATCCCTAGGTAAAGAACAAAACTGTTTTCAATGAGCTAACTAGCTCGGTCATGTCTGCATTCATTCTAAACGGGGCTCTGACTCAGCAGGGCTAACATTAGCTTAGCTTAGCCGCAACGCTACGCTTCTGGACATTTTAACTTCGAACCTTTGTAAAGACTGAAAACAGAGATTAAATCCACTGACCTGTTAAAATGATCGACCACACTGAGCAACACCAGAGGGTGAACAACCACATTTTCCACCGCTAACTCCGGCATTTTTGCAGTAGAGATAAACAGCTCACAGCAAACCTCTACACAATGACGGCTACGCTGCACTTCCGCTTGCGTCTGACGTCTCTTCCGTTTCTCTTGGCAACGGAGAGACGCGAAGAAAAGGCTGAGGAGCTGTCTCGGGCAGCCGTTCACAGACAAAATGGCAGGAACTGAGCACGTAAGTTCACTGTTTTGTTTCGGAAGCGTTTTCTTAAACGTATATGCCATTATGCCTCTGAATGATTAACGTATTATTTTTTATCTAAATGTAATTAAAGGAAAACACCGACATTGCATCAATTAGCTATGTTAACTTTTACAAGTAACTCACCTTACTGGCACTAACCTTGCTGCTGTTAACTGAAATTCAATCAAACATCATTAAAGTTGCTGTTTACTAAGCTCACTCTGTCAAATATTTCACAAGTGGGTGTTTTATTAAATATCCACCCACATTTTATTCTGCAGACTGAAATTGAGGAGACACTGAAGAGGATTGAAGCCCATAAAGGTGTGATTGGAACAATTGTGGTAAATGCAGAGGGTAAGCCAAAAACTATAAATCTCCAGCACAACAGTTTTCTGTAGTACAATAGGTTTACAGTATTGCCTGACTGAGAAGGTAGTAAAAGCTTTATCTTTTCAGGTATTCCCATCAGAACAACTTTAGATAACTCCACAACGGTTCAATATGCAGGACTTCTTCGCCAACTCACGATGAAGGCCAGGAGCACAGTGAGGGATATCGACCCTCAGAATGACCTCACCTTCCTCCGCGTGCGCTCCAAGAAACATGAGATCTTGGTGGCACCAGGTGAGTATGTAGTAGCTACTTAATGATGATCACTGAAGCAAACATTTAATATCACAGCTTTAACTCAGAGGAGGCTCTACTATTTGTATTTCATTTGTGTGCCCCGTCTTCTCTTCTTTTATGTTTCTGCAGAGAACGATTTTCTGCTGATAGTCATTCAGAACCCATGTGAATAGCTGCTGGACATTTCCATGAGAGTCAGCCTTTGTTTTGTCACATGGTGGTGCTCTATCCAGGCAAATTATTTTTTTCCCCCACTGTGTTGTTGCATCATGTACTGCCTAATCCCCCTTTTTTCACTTGGAACTCAAGTATATTGCCTTAATCTTTATCTTTATGATAAATTGTTTGTTTTACCCTCCTTATTCTGATTGAAAAACCTGAATAAATGTGGATGCTTCCATAGAGGTGTACTGTGTCATACAATAAGAAATAAACTATGATATATAAAGGTAAGGTATACAAATGCTGAGCTATCTTTGATTAGGACTGTATATGTAGATGGTAAAAGTAAAAGATCGAAGTGACTTTAAATGAGAGATCATAACTGGCCCACGGGGGCTTCCATAACAAAGACTGCTCAGTAGTCTTACGCGGCAGTAGCTCAGTCCATAGGGACTTGGGTTGGGAACCGGAGGGTCGAGTCCCCGTCCGGACCAAATATGGAGCATGGACTGGTGGCTGGAGAGGTGCCAGTTCACCTCCTGGTCACTGCCGAGGTGCCCTTGAGCAAGGCACCGAACCCCCCAACCGCTCGGGGCGCCTGACCAAGGGCAGCCCTCTCACTCTGACATCTCTCCACTTTGTGTATGTATAGATCCTGTTTGTGCATGTGTGTGTCTTTCGGACCTGTGTGTAATTGACAAGCAAGAGTGAAAACATTGAATTTCCCCTCAGGGGGATTAATAAAGTAAATAAACTTTAACTTAAACTAAGCAATCCTTGTGACTGAACTGATCAGGAACAATGACTAAAGTGGAATCTACATCCAAGTCCAGGGAATCAGCGCATGCCTGAATGCTTTATCCAGTGTGGGGTCCCAGTGGCTCTGTACACTCAGTTATACTTTTTGACATGATTTGAGTCCATTTGTCCCCTTAGAGACCAGACACCCTGGAAATCAACACAAGGTGACTGTAAGTGAAAAAGTAGTAACTTCACAGTGAAAAAATACTCTTAAGTCCTGCATATAAAATATTAAAAGTACTTTAAAAAAAGTATTGTCAGAAAAAGTGTGCTTAAATGATCAGAGTAAAAATACTCCACTGTTAAAACCCTGTTGTTGATTTTGTTGGACCTTTGGGGATGGGGAAACATACCCACTTATCATTCTTACATGTGTAGCATTTGGTGAAGTCGTGTAATTCATTGCATAGCTCAACCCAACATACACCTTGGCTGCAATCCCAGAAAACATGGCGAAACGTATTCAAACATTGGTGCATTGAACATGCTGTTGTGTTACCCAGGCTCACTGCCTTCAAATACTGCAAGGTTTCATTAAATTCAATTCAAAGGGGCTTTATTGGCATTGGAAACATATGTTTACGTTGCCATTACATTGACATAAAAACAAAAAAATATAAGTACAGTAAGTAAAATTCTACCAGACATTTGTTTATGTACGCATTGATTGGGTAACTCCTCTGACCCACCCACCAAATGAGAGAAAACATACCTCCAAGCCCATTGCACACGGTTTCAAGGAAATATGTCCTCCAGACTGTAAACTGTAGCAAAATGGTGCACACCGTTTTGAGATTGAACATGTCCCTGACTAGAGGTCCCATCAGCCAGGTCAACTGATAAAACCTGTGTGGGTGTGCAGAACCATTAAAGGAGCAGTGTGCAAGATTTAGTGCCATCTAGTGGTGTTGTTGCAGATCGCAGCCAATTAAATACCCCTCCCTCTCCAAACATGTAGAGAGCCTCCAGTGGCCTTCAGGTAACAAAAAATGTGAGAGGCCCTATCCAGACCCAGTGTTTGGTTTGTCCCTGGGCTACTGTAGAAACATGGCAGTGCAACATGGTGGAAGCTGTAGAAGAGGACCCACTTCTTATGTAGATATGAAGGGCTCATTTTAAGTTAATGGAAACACGGCAATTCTTATTTTCAGGGGATTTTACACTAAAGAAAACAGACTTATTGTATTATATTTCTGCCATTATCCTTCTATATCCTACACACTGGATCTTTAAACAAATCAAAAGAGGACAAAACGTAATAAATATTGCACGCTAAGAAGAATTGCTTTCTTAAATTGCCCTTGGGTAGTGAAAGTGTCAACCTTGACACTGACATTGGTATTCCATGACTGCCAATAAATCCCCCTAAATCCTTTACAATGGACCCTTAATTTGCAAAGTAACTATAGTTGTCAAATGAACGTATTGTAGTAAGCATGTATGAACTAGCATAAAAGGGGAGAGCTCAGGCAAGGTGCAAATGCCTCAGAGTTCTACCATAAGTATAGTACTTGGTAAATGTACTTAATTACTTTTATTAAATGTTGAATCATGTCTATCTTGATGAGCATGAGTCTTTTGTAGGATGACAGTGACCCCATTCACATGACATAGGAGGTCACTGAATGGTTTGATATGTATAAAAATGATGTGACGCAACCCAGTTTAAACCCACTGAAGATTTTGGAGCGATTTTAAACCAAAGAAGACAGACATGGTATATTTGCCAGAGTGCCTCAGGAAACATGAAATGAGAGTGAAATAAACACCTATCAGAAGTGAAAACCCAGTCTCTCCTCAGATAAATGACAATGACTAACAAAAGACATTTTACAAATATTTTAATGTAAATTTCCATCAGAATGTACAGCAATATATGTTAATAAATAATTCATCACAATTATACAGCCCAAATAATACATTACATGACAACTGATTGAAACAAATATGCAGGATTTCACAGCGAGTTTGTGGAGGAGACCGAACAGGTGACGCAGGAAGGTCAGGCGATTTTGGGAGATTGCTACTGTAGCTTGTGCTTGTAGGAACGGGCTCCTGGGATTTTAATATTCAGAGGGAAAGGGGGGCAGAAATTACGAATTAGTGACATTTGTTTTATCTGCCTGGAACAAAAATAAATCTCATCAAAAGAGAACGTGTCGTTTATTGTTATCCACAGAAGGCTAGTGTCATTCTGATGTTTATGTCATCCATAAACAATTAGAGATTTGTTTCAAGTACTCTGCAAATATCAAGTGTAAAGATATCATTTATCAGTTTTGACAGTCCTGAAATGGAGCTGAATAATAATTTGGCTTTTTCGTTTCCTTGACAAAATCACTTAACCTTGCTTTTCAAAATAATGCCACATGAAATCACCTTCAGAGGGGCGAAAACAAATGCAATGTCGGACAATGTGTCTGAAAGTACTGTTGTTTCACTCAAGTTATGCCAATTATTAAGAACGTGTGTAGAGTGCTGCAAAAGGCCTTAAATATCACAAAATATCACAACTTTTATTCTGTTCAAGTTTTATCAACATTTATAGGCATGTGGAGGGACACAGACTCTGGGATAAACCATCTTGAGTAATCTTCATGAGACAAAAACTGACATTTGCCATGTTGTCTTCCACCCCCAGTGCATCTTGGTCCTAACATTTTGACATCACATAACATTTTTTTTTTCAAATACAACTGTCCTAACGTCCTTCATTTTCTAAAACAGTTTTTATTCTGACCAGCAGCAATTCAAACAAAACATATGGCTTCCCACAAATAATGGTTAAAACAATAAAACATACAAAATTCTTCATCTATCACAAGAGACATTACCAATGGAAAATTTATTAAACCTCAAAAAACTTCATTGATATCATTTGCCATTATATAGATAATATCTTTTTAGGTGTTTCCTATCCTCTGCAGGATCTTTACCCGCACACAAACTGCTTCATCTGTCAGATACGTTGCTAAGTAGACACTACAACATTACACCACACAGAGGACGGTCAAGTATTCACTCCAATTCCACTTCAAGTGCATCCTATCAAGTTTAAGGCCTGAGGTGTGCTTTGATTCCTTGACTCAATTTTCATTCTCTGAGTATTAACCGAGTGACCCCTGCATGCTTACTCTCTTCTCATTGCTGTCCACAGAGGCTACAGGTTTGTGCCGAGTGATGTGTCCCATTAGTGTGGATCGATATAGTTTATGCAGAAACGTACATGATATGAATTACATGGTGGAGAGTCCTTAAAGCTAACTCGGGGACTAGTGGGAGCGGTTAGCTGCGAAAGATGCTGTTTGACCTACACAGTGTTGATATTGTCCATGGGCAGAATGAGACAGAGCAGGAATGCCCAGACTTCATGGTCACCATAGTTACCGTGGCAAACACGGCAGGTAATCAGTTGAATCTGGAACCACACAGGTAACACAACTGATTGGCCAGAGCGTGTAACAAGACAAGGATTGGCTCCTTCAAGTGCTTCAAGTGCTTCAGAGAGTGGTCTGGCTCCAGTCTGTCTTGTTCTTGTTACTGTTCCTTCGCTGTCAGAGGCGCATCCGTCGGGGAGCTGGAGTCAGAGGTCACCTCGGTGTGTGCCCGTTGACTTGCCCCCTGCCCCAGTGAATGTTCGGTAGCGTCAAACACCTCCTGAAGTGCTCAAGCTGGGCCTGCAGTCTCTCCCTCTCCTCTCTCACTTTCTGCCTCTGACTCACCAGCTCCTGACAAATGAAGGACAGACACAACTCTCATTACAGAGCTGAGACTTTCTACACCAAGCTGCATCACTTACAAACAATACGTACAAACTGAACATGGGAACACTGACATGAACAGAGCGAAGTAGAGTCTTAAAAATAAGGGTTCAAAAAGGTTTGTTCATGAAGGGCTGGGGTTCTACCCAGAACATCTGCTTCTGAGGATCCCTTTTCTAAGAAAATGTTCTTAAAGGGTTATTTGTAAGAATAAGGGTTTCATCCAAAGAACCTTTTTTGGAAGAAAGAGTTCTTCAATGATTGCTGAAAGTTCGAGTGGTAATAGATCCTTACCCTCAAATGTTTACCCATGTTTTACACGGTATTCTTAACTGTAGTACCCGAAATCAATTGATTTTACTTTTATTCTGCCGTAGTTAATATCTTTACCATAATTTTACAACATAGAATACCACATGGTCTGCTGATTTTCTTTTTTTCTTTAAAAGGGGTAACCGGTAATTGGCATTTTGTATTTGGTTCTAATTTGGGAACCAAGTTTCAAAGCCCAACCCTACTGCACCCATGACATCGTAAAGGCTGTAGTAGTAGTGATTTTATTAAATCTCCAACCCATAAAAAAACCTGGTTGGGATCCAGTGTTGGTTGTGCTGGACCACATCAGTACTAGCCTTTTAGGAGCCTCATGAAGCCTGTGGCTACTGAATGTTGTTCC